ACGAGACGAGATTTTCGTCCCAAGTCCGAACGAGATGGAAAATCGACGACGACTAGAGGAGAAGAATGCCGACATCCAGTCATGGTCAGCATCTGTAAGCGCTGCGAATAGTGAGGCAGGAGACGAGGACACTTCTTTGCTTGGTGGGAATCGTAGCCACCTGGGAGGCAGACGCAGAGCCAAAAGTGCCGGGGACCCATCGCTTCAGCCGGATTACTTCTCCCTGAAATCTCGACTTTTGGAACCCGCCGTACCGGGGCCTGGGCTCTTGCTCCATGAAAGTAGCGATGATGGCATCAGTGAAGGCGGGTCGGACAGTGCAGAAAGCCGATCAGACTCACCAGCTGTCAGTGTCAATGAAGCGAGGTGGGCACACGAGGATGCAGAAGTTGCCCCTGAGGAAGAGCAACAGAGACCCGAAGATGGAGAACCGTCCCCACATCAGTTCCTCGGAGCTCCTCCATGGCGGGATCCTGAGCACGACGCGTTTCCCCAGGAGACGCGGATGCAGCCTGCAAGCTCGAGTGCTGCCATGGTAGAATATCAACGAAGAGCCAAGGACATTGACACCGCCTCGCGCTCGGCGACTTGGGGCACCCGGCATTTGAACGATGCAGAAGTCAACAGTATTATCGGCCCCGGTGGCTCCTTCGAAAATATGTCACTAAATGACAAGAAACATGAAAGACGAAGTAGCCTCCGAAAATTCCTACACAGAAAACCCTCCAGCAACTTGAAGCGGCGCCTATCGGATCTCTCAATCATTCCCCCAAGCACGGAGGGCGCGAGCAAAGCTGAAGATGTCAAGAGTCCCCCGTTGAGAAAGGACAGCTTCCCTCACCGGTTGAACCTCAGTCGATCCAGGTCTCCAAGCCTTAACACAAGCAGTGCCGTGATCGCTATTGCCGGACAGATGGCGGCTATTGGAGGCAAAGATTCCCTCCGGGCTGCGTCGCCAAATCCAGCCACAGGCCCCTGGACATATCTGAAAGGTCGGGGAAGAAGCCGAAGTGAGCTACCAAGGGCTTCAGCTCCCGGGTTGATGGACCTGATGACCAGTCATGGCGGACCACCGATTCCCAACATTGCCTACTCACCACGGGCAAGCAACCACCACGAAGCCCCGCAGAAGAGTCCAGGAGAGGACCACGCGGGAGCCAATGCAGATGATGAGGATGACGACATGGTGGACGAAAAGGGATTGGTGATGCAGTTCCCGCTCCCATCGCATTTGCCGGTGCCGACTCTCGAGGGGTTCAAGAACCAAATCACGCAGATCAATCCCCGACTTCCGCCCGCATTGATTGAACGCTTTGCTCACGAGCAGCTTCGTCGGTACCGGAAGCTAGTAGAGAGCAAGCAAAGCCATACACGTGCTGTTGGCCAGAAGCAATGTAAATCAGGGAAGTTCTGCTTCGCATTGGGTGGCGAGGCAAAATTGCTGGCACCTCGCGCTAGCCCCGAAGCTACTCACACGCAGTTTCATATCCCGGGTCATGGAGCGGTCGAGGACGACCCTCACAAGCTTGGAGAAAGCGCCGTCACTGCAGCACAGTTTCCCCCGGGTGTACCCCTACCGCCGGTCAAACGGTTGCCAGCGGAGTTCGAATGCCCGGTATGCTTCCAAGTCAAGAAGTTTCAGAAACCTTCAGACTGGACCAAGCATGTCCACGAAGATGTGCAGCCATTTACATGTACCTTCCCACAGTGCTCGGACCCCAAGTCCTTCAAGCGAAAGGCTGATTGGGTCCGACACGAAAGTGAGCGACATAGAAAACTAGAGTGGTGGACGTGTACGGTTCCTGATTGCAACCATACTTGCTACCGGAAAGACAACTTTGTACAACATCTTGTCAGGGAACATAAGATGCCAGAGCCCAAAGTCAAGAAACCGAAAAACCAGGGGGCGTCGACCAAGACCAAAGGCGAATCTGTTTCTCCGGACTCGCAGGAAGACAGCAATCGCGAGCGGGAGATTGAACACCTCTGGCACCTTGTAGACAAGTGTCGACATGACACGCCCAGGGGACCCAAGGACGAACCGTGTCGCTTTTGCGGTAATGTCTGTAGCACCTGGAAGAAGCTAACGGTGCACTTGGCCAAGCACATGGAACAGATCGCTATGCCCGTTTTGGCGCTTGTAGATGAGAGGGATCTTCCAATGATCGAGACTACTGGTCCTAGCGATGAGCCCGCTCCTGGACTGAATCCAGGGACCCCACCAAATGAAGCCAGCCGTTATATGCCAAACTCGGATGGCGTTGACGGACCCTCGGTGGTATCGATGGATCTCACGCAGGCACCATGCGCCAGCAATAATGCCGAGAACGCCCAGGAGCCTATGATGTCCTTCACTCCGTCATATTCCCCCCACTTGCCAACCATGCCTGGTGGTTGGATCTCCGCCGAGCCTGAGTCAATTGACGCGTACGATGATGCGCCCATAATGGGCCTGCCAGGGGGGAGTGCGGATCAGACGCGGCTCATGCCGGTGCATCAAAATTCGGTCACCTATCCGCCCCCTTTCAACGCTGGGCCTCGACTGAGGGTCCCCAGTCCAAACCTCAGTGTGCTGCAGGACCCGTATAGCTTCTCCCTATCCCCCACGGATATGCAGCCCACCTATGATCATCAGGGGCCAGTTTACGTATCACCTTCCACGGACCACCGCTATGGGTATCAAGGCTCGATGCCACCGGCCATGCCTTACGTTCCGAGGGGCTACCGAGAACAGCCCTGATCCTCAATCGGGAGAGGCGACGTCGTAACGTCTCACGGGGCTTATGACCCTAGCGCAGCAGTTGCAGATCGTGGAAGGGTGGAGGATGGAATGCGCTTGGAACGGTCGTCTATCCTAGGAAATATTCCCATGACCACACTCGGATTTTGGGGAAAGGATTTTACTTCTTTTTTCTTGTTCTGCTTTTTAGGTCTTATTTCTGTATCTTGTTGATCTGCATCCACCTATATACCCACCATTGGATTGAACATAGCACCATTGACCGTTCTTGGAAAGGAATATTGTATTTTATGCGTGTATGTTACTGTGGGTTCGGTTTCTCCTACAGGATCCCTTCTTGACCTGCTTAGAGGTTCTCCCAATCTCTTTTCGTTTTCTTGTCCAGATAGGTTTTGGGTTCCGATTTATTTATTTTTATTTTTATTTTTTTTTTTTTAGTTTGGCGTATCTCTTGGGGCTTGGCCAGGGATGGATGGCGTCAGCCGAGATCCAGGACTACGATGGTCGCCGAACCCCGTCAATCTAGGAATGAGCTAGTTTCGCATCCATTGCCCTGTGTGCTACCTACTGACATCGTATGCACGCTGCACGCGTGGCCCCCAAATTGTCAATTGGTCATGATGCGATGATTGGAGGAGAGACGACGCACGTCGCAGGGTAACTTGACGGCACACTGCAGCGGGTGGTGAGGGGATGGCATCCGGACGACATTCAACGCAGGACAGAAGATTCCCTCCTCGCTGCCTGTCAACGTCGGGTCGGAGAAGGCGAAACCAACGGCTGATCAACGACCCTGGCGGAAGCACAGGATTGGGGGGGTGGGTGTGGTGGTGGGTGAAAGCATAGTCCCCCCGTGGTTACGACGCTGCGAGCACAGCCCATGAGGCTTGAAACCTCAACCGTTGCTCTATTGAAGGAGATCCCTCGGGCTGTGATCTGACGCTGGAGGTGATATTTTTAGGCAGACCGGGATGATGATGGGGAAAGAAAGGGAGTAAGGGATCCACGGGGAGGAAAGGCGTGGAAACTAAACTAGTCGATCGACGACCATGACACTACTGGACACGCTACTCTTTCTCTCTTGGGTCTCTACCTCTACAGGTACAGAGGTTCCGGCATGCATCTAGCTTGGGGGGGAGGGGGTGTAAAATTAGGTAGGTCTGTCGTGTGTTTCGGAGGAATGGGTAAGTGAAAGATAACGAACATGGAAAGAAAGGCAGATGAAGAGAAATGGGGAAGCTAACATCCCTCTCTATGCAACCAGTCTGCTTGTGGTCAGTCAGTCGACTAGTCTATATCAGATAGATTGCTGCAGTGTGATGACTTTGGGTGTAGATCCATAACGGACCTCCCTGAGGGATCGTCCGGGACGCGGGTGAAGGGTTCGCTACCCTACCCTACCCTCTCGATCGGAGTCTTCACTGATCACTCGCCGGGGGTGGATGAGGAGGGGGGGAATGAGAAGACGCGAAACCTAAACGGGGTGGATAATAGCGGGAGAGGGAGGAGAGCGACAGAGACAATGAAGATTTCAAGCGAGAAGATTGACCAAGTGGGTATTGACCCAGGCTGTCACTTCACGACGAACGGCTTATCGGGGGCCCTCCTTACTGAGAGTCTGACACAGCCCCCGTTAGTGACTTTTAGTCCGGCTCTCCGCGAGGGAAAAAGGTTCGCCCCGTCTTTTGTTGAACCGGATTTCTTCCCCTGGCGATGGGCCTGCAGCCAATGGAGCTGCGGCCGCGTGATGATCGCTCAACCACCTTACATACGAGGGCTTCTACTCTCTTTTTTTTTTTTTTCTCTCCCCTTCCCTTTCCCCTTACCCCCTCTGCTTTCCCACCAATTCATTTAGAGTGATTGATTACTCGACCGAGTATGGCCTGCTCCGGGGAGGACGCAGAGTGAACAGTCTGAAATGCGGGCTGTCTGTGACTTCGTTTCCCCCCTCCCGTCGAGCTGCTAGTGATGCCGGATAGTATCACTTGAGTTCCTAAATACGAGAAAGACAGACGCTCCGAGGAAATGCACAGAACACGGATGATCCTGCCCCAGCCAGGTGGTAGTAAAGCTGAAAAGGGCAAAAGACAACAGCGAAAGAAAAATAAAAAGCAAATAAATACGGAATAGAAGAAAACCGAAGGAAAAAAAAAAGAGAAGAAAAGAAGAGAAAAGAGCAATACGAAAATGGTAGAAGTAAAGAAAAAAAAATGAGAAAAAGAAATTCAGAACGACAACTACTACCCGTGGGGGTAAAGAGGAAGAGAACGACGATGATGAGGGAATGATGATGGCTGAGAATAATTGCGCCGAAGTCAATACAGCCCATTACTAGCGAGAAGTCTAGTCTGTCGGACTATTCTTCCTCTTCCTACTATCTATCAATCCATCATCCATGGGTCCAGGAGGGTCCTTGTGTCGCCCGTTGGGATCGCATCTCGATCGGATCCTGAGCGCCGGTAGAGGATGGACGATAGCTGGTCCTTGCCATTCTCCATCCATCCAACCATCCATCAATCTCTCTCCATCAATCAATCTATTCATCCATCCACTCCTATCGATCCAGCCTATCGGAAAGAGGATCTATCGAGACTTGTACCGTGGGTCGGCTTACTCGCTCTGACAGGTCCGTCTGGACTAGCGTGGATGCTTAACGGGATGGAGTCCACCGGCCTCTCTAGACCGGCTCCAGTTCTCCAGCAGCTTTTTCCCTTTCCCCCAGCTTCGTTTCACATACTGTAGAGTCTCAACCTGTCACCGCACTCCTCTCTGGTCTGCTGGGCTCGATCGATCGGGGAAGCGCAATGAAAGTGCTAGCCAAAAGACCTGCAGCAGGAAGACCCAGCGGATTGAAGGATGAGTGAGCATTAACTAAGGATGATCGGCGTGGCATTCCTTCTGGCCTCCTCTTCTCCAGCAATGCCAGCTTGCGGAGACCTTGACGTGGGACATGCCATGACCATCCGCTTCGATTAGCTCGTCCTGTCAGAGCTTTCTGATGGGGTCCTGGGATGCCTCTTTTTCTGGATTGTTGACTCAGTTCCTCCCTCACCTCGACACGTTATCGCGTGGGTGGGGGAGGCATTTTGAGGGTTTGTAATGGAGATCCTCGGTCGATCCTCTCTCTCTCTCTCTCTCTCTCTCGGTCTCTCTCCAGTTTTGCTTTTTCCGGCCTGTCGTCTGTTCTCTGTCGATTTTTATTTATTTTATTTTTATTCTTACAGTAATGATATAATTATTCGGTATATTTATTTATTCTTAATTATTATTTTTTTTTTCTCGAATTTATTTTTTACTTGCATTATTTCCTTTTTCCTCCTCTTGGACCGCGTATTTTCCATCCACTTTGCCATTGTTCCCCATCCAACTATTAGCTTACTGCTTGCTTGTGCTGCTGCTGCTGCTGCTGCTCCTCCTCGTCTTCTTGCATGCTTAGTTCCAGTCGCTCTTCCTATCGTTTCCCCTCTTTCGCTGTCTTGCTTTTTTGGTGAATTTTTTTTTTCTTCTTCTCCTCTTCTGCTCGTCTCGTCTCTTTCTCCTCCCATTTCTTTTTCTCCGGTTCATCGGTCGCTCATCCGGCTGATTTTCATTCTCCTCCCTTTCTTTTCCTGCTTTCGTTTAGCCCAGGTGTCTTTCTGGTCGCCGACCACGGCTGATTCTCCCCTCCCTCTTCCTTCTCCTCCCTCCTCCTCTTGTCTCCCAATATATTATTCCTTCTAGTGATACGCGGCCGATCATCCGGCTCTCTATCACTTCCTTCTTCTCAGCTGGGACCCAGTGCTCGACAATCTCCTAACCCAACGATTTCACCCCGAAAGGGAAAAGGAACCTGATCATCACAGGAGCGTTGTGGCTCATCATCACCGTCTCGGTTTAGAACCCGATCGGTTCCCTCACGACGGGTTTCGGCCCCCTCTTGCTATATGATAAACCTCCCAGTGTCCGCCCTCTCCTCCCGTCTCGCCAGAGGCTATCTTCCTACTCGCCAATAACACACCGAGAAAGCGGGTGAGCTTACTCCTGTAGGATCTGCTTCATCCTGCCATTATCACACACATTATGAGTGTATGTTGCAGGTTTCCTTTTGTTTATTCCCCCTGAGTATTCAGTCATGCACCGGCGGGCGGGATATATGTACATGCCCGGCCGGCCAAGAGACGGGCCAGAGCTGACTCTTGGTGGCACAGACATCCGATCCCAGCAAGCCCTGGGACAATTCCAGTGATATCCTACAAGGCATTATGGGCACTCGGGCAGTGCCTACGTCAGGTTCTTCGCAGGTCGACCTCTCATCCGACGGGCTGTCCCCGTCCGACCTCACGCTGGGCGATCCGGCGTCATTCTTGGGCTTCCAATTCGCATCCGAGCCAGCCATTCCTCATCCTAATCATCCATCCATTCTTCAACCATGGTCACTGTATCACAAGCAAACATCCTCGCCCCTCCCCCAGCTATTCGATGCCTCCGCCTATCCTCCGCTGACACGATGGAGAAACGACCAAGAGGCGTGGAACCCGCTCCAAGTGACAGGTGGGCCCATCTATCCTGCTGCGTTCGTTGTCCCGCGTTCGCACCAAGTCTACGGCCTTGACCGCCGATCATCAAGTGGACATCACAGCACACCCTCCGAGGCTGGTAGTCAGTATACCGGTATCCATCTGTCCGACTCCGGATATAGTACGCAGGGCTGCACCACACGCTCTGTGGCTGCATCATACGCCCTCGAGTCGGCCTGCAGCCCATTCCTGGCACCTCTCGACCACGAGCAGGATGATAGAGTATCCGCACTCGACCTCAACACCGCCCCATATGGTGACGCCATGGATGCGTTGGACTCTCCGTCCTTGTTGTGCCAGGACGTGATCAAGTGCGACTACCCCGGTTGTCAATGGACTGGCAAGTGTCCTTCCGACAAGAGGTGCGTTCCCTTAGGTGCTTGCTTCAGTGAAAGGGCTAGGAAGCTGACTGTCACAGGAAACACGAAGCCAGACATAAGAAGCTCTTCAAATGCGACGAGCCGAACTGCACCCGCAAAGAGGGGTTCGGTACCATCAACGACCTTGCTCGTCACAAGAAGTGTGTTCACAAGCAGGAGCCTGAGCGGGGGCCGAAAGTCCTCTACATGTGCTTCGGACATAACTGCCCACGCCGGAATAAGAAATGGCCTCGATTGGACAACTTCCGTCAACATCTTGCTCGTATGCACAGTGACGAGGACGTTGAGGAGCTGCTACGGAGGTAAGTCAGTTGAACACTCTGCGTATCAGCTACAAGATGGAGACACTAACATGTTATCTAGGTCGCATGAGTGGTATGAAACCTGCGTGAAGCCGCAGGAGCTGGGGTCCTCTTTCATTGATTCCCTGTCGGAAGAAGCGCCAACCCTACAGGCCGAACCAGTCTCCCAGTCCGAGAGCCTTGCGAAAGATACAATTCATGGCTCTTCGGCCTCACCAGTTAGCGCTGATAGGGGATTTCCGTCTCCTGAAACCCTCACACCAGATACCGTCATGCGAATGAATGAAGAGTACAACGACCGTAGCGCTGACGCTGCATCGGTTCAACCGCCGCTTGCAAAGCCACTCCCTAGCGAGCTGCCCGCTCTGAGAGCCCTCAATCTGGAATCTTCGTTGGATTCAAAGGTTCCCCTACCCACCCAGCTCGACACCGCCAGAAACGGAAAGATGGACGACATGGTCAATGAAGCTGCAGTCAACATGATCAATGCGATGACAAAGGCCATGAACACCAACGAGCGAAGACGGAGCCAGCAATCCGAGTCTGGGGACGAAATTGTCGACCAGAGTGTGGAGCTGTCGGATCGCAAGCGCGATATGCTACAAAGGATCTTGTCCGCTGCTCTCGATCGTCTGTCAGGGCCGTCTGGCTCCAGCCACGCCCCTTCCCAAGCCACTCCGGATGAAGACCGTGAGAAGAAGGGCTGGATTCAATGTGAATTTTGCACGAAGCGGACACGTCTGCGATGTGAGATGAAGTAAGTGAGCCTTGGTGTTTCTTTGATATCAGCCGGGACTTTGCTGACTGAGTCGTTTGAAAGGAAGCATAAGAAGCGCCACGAACGGCCATATGGATGCACGTTCTCCAAGTGCAATAAGACTTTCGGCAGCAAGGCCGATTGGAAGCGCCACGAAAATTCCCAGCATTTCCACGCGCAGTGCTGGCGGTGCACCCTGCCCGATGCCACGCAAGAGGGTCTCCCGTGTGCGCGCCTATTCTACCGCCAGGAGATATACGTCCAGCACCTGAAGAAGCATCACGAAACCGATGACGGTGAGGTCCGGGCGTCGCTGTGCAACAATCGGATCAACCGCGACGGTGATCCGCGTCCCTCGCACTACTGGTGCGGTTTTTGTCGGGTCCTGCTACCTCTGAAGACACAGGGAGTGGGCGCCTGGAACGAACGATATAACCACATCGATGTCGAGCATTTTAAGAAAGGCGAGCGCGTGGAAGACTGGCTCCTCCCCTCTGGACATCTAACCAAGAGTCAAGAGCGGGACGAGATCAAGAAACAACGGGCCGACGGTAACGGTTATGATAGTGAGCCGGCCATGGATGAAATCAGCGATGATGAATCTGTGAGCAGCGAATGTGCTGCCGAGCACGAGCCACTGCAGGATGACTTGATGGCAATCGACGAGGAACCGACGCCCGAGACCGACTCGTTGCAACACAATCAGTCTAATTCTTACCCTCAATCGTCGAATTTGCGGAAGCGGAAATTTCCGGCGCTGCAGTCTCCAACGAACCCTCACAGAGATACCGCACAGATGGCGGGTCTGGACAAACGGTCAAGACTCGGTTCCTCATGGGGATCGTTCTATCGTGGTGATGACACCATGCAGCCGAGTCAGTTGCCTCACGAAGGCAGCTCGGCTTATTGTGTTGGTCTAGCCTCGCACGAGGGGATGCAATAGCTTGGAAACCGATCAAGCAGTGCTCCACCATCTTTACAGTATTGATGAGCCTACTATGGTTGGAGGATCCTCATGACAGATAAGGGGGGCATGTAACTTTAGCCACGTCCAGTCACATTGTCATTTGTTTTGTTTTTCATAGCGTTAGGATACACACATATATATAACGAAGACACGCATACCAACAATCAAGATTCAAGAACAAGATTACCAGTACTACAAGCACTCCACATAGACATAAATATAAAAATATAAGATAAGTAGGGGTATATATATAATCCAAGACCCAAGTTAATAAACCAATTGAACTAGGCGATGAAACGCTTATTTTTGCGCGCCAGTCAATTCCTTGGCCTTCTTCTCCAGCGCTTCTACCTCCTCTACATGGGATTAATCAGCCACACATTCCCTCTTCTCTTCCATCACAACACAAAAGGCAAGGATGAGAGTAGACGAGCTTACTATTCTTCTCCGCCTTAGACTCATCCATCTCCAACTTCAACCACGTCCAGTGGATGACTTGATAGGTGAAGATGGCACCGAGGAAGACCTTAGCAAAGGGACTCACGAAGAGTTTGTAGCGGGCCATCTGGTTGCATGGATTAGCATTGAATTAATTGATAGACACGTAGCTGGGTAAACTGACTCCCTCTCTATAAGCACTGGATGATGACGAGTCCGGGCTCCATCTGGCAGTGGAGGTGGACAGGGAGGCCCGCTGAGTGATGAGAATCCGGGAGCGGAGGAGGGGGGTGAAGGAGCGGGAGAACATTTTCATGAATTTAAATGGTAGATATTAGATAGAATAGAAGTGATAATACATATGATTTTTGTTTATGTAGTAGATATGTATGTATCTCCGCAAGTTGAAAGTTGCTTTCGGCGAGAGACGGACCGTGCTGACTCAGCCATGCCTTCGGCCAAACAGTCACATGATATCAAGCGAGAGGCGAAAGTCGAGAACACGCGGGGAGGGGCAAGGAGTTTAAGGGCGATAAGCTTCGTGGGGAAAAAAATCGTGGGCTACTATTTTTATTTTTTAACTATCTAGGCACATATGGGGCTGAGATGTGGTTCAAGATCTACTATGTTTTTTATGATTTTATCTTGGAGAAGGTTTTGAATTTTTGGTGGGTTATGATTGGAAAGGTTGTAGAAGATATTGTTTAGTTTGAGGGGATATTTTAGTTTTGGTTTTGTGTATTAAGTCTATATAGAGGTGAAATTGGGGAGTTTGTTGTTCTGGGGTATGGAGGGGGGTTGAATGTTGTTATGAAAGGAACGGGGGGGAACAGGACGGGAGAAATAGCGAAGATAACAATGGGAAGGGCTGATACTTGTTTGGTTTGTGGTGCGCACAGTCATGGATTGGCGGCTACGCTAGACTACATTAGGAACTGGTTGCTGGTTAGTAACCACTCGGGGACGGGTGAGTTGGTGGCCTGAGGCCAGTTACCGGGCACTGAATTGCCCGCGCAGTTCAGCTGCTGCTTCTCTTGTGTCTCTCTCACTGCTTGTTGCTGTGAGCATCTCCGGTCTCTTGATCTATCCATCGCCCTCTTCCCCGGTGGATTTATCTATCACTTTGGCCACTCTGGAGATTCTTTTTTTTCCCCCTTCCCTATTCATTCATTCATTTATCTTTTTCTTCTTCCCTCCTCTCCATCGGGGATCCAATCCCCTCCCCTCCCCCTGTGCTGAGCAGCTTGCATGCGACGCGTCCCTTCCGGTTGGTCAGTCCGTGAGCCTCGCTCCGTTCATTTCATTTCCCTGCCTTTCTCTCTCTCCTCTTGCTTTTGGCGCATTGCGCTTCGCCGTCGTCTTCTATTTTTTATTTCCTTTCTTCCCTCCCACTCCCTCTCCTACCCTCGTGTTGTGTTATTCACGGCCTCTGTTTCCTTCTCCATTAATAATTGATGGCCGTTGAAACCTGCTTCCATTGTGGGTTTGCCTGAGAATCTACCATCATCGTCGCTCGTTGAGTGAGAGACCTCTCCATCGCTCGCTCTGTGTGTGTTCTGTCCGAGTGAGTGTATTCGAGTTTTGCTTCCCCTTCTACCAGCCTTTCCTGTCGGTTTGCAACGGGCCTTTTCATTCCCCCATTCACTTTCTTGTTACATTGGCCTCTGTAAGTGCCAGTATCATTCCTCTCCGCTGTTCAATCGCCGCGGCGGGACATCTTCCCCGTCTCTGGCTTCAACTCCACGCTTCATCGCCCTCGTGCTTCTTGTATCTTCTCTACTCTCTATGTCATTCTCTCCATCCTCTGCTTGCTAATCCATCACTTCCTCGTCTTGTTCACCCTACTAACATGGCAATTCGCAAAAGATCCCCCTGTCTGGCGCGGCATCATGCCTCGTGCTAAGCGCTCCATCGAGGAGTTGGCCAATAAGTCCGACTCGGATGATGACGACTACAGCGATCATCCCGTGCGCTCATCTCGACGCTCCGCCTCTCGAACCAAATCCAAGAAGAAGTCCAAGCCCGTCAAGAAAAGGGCTCGTCGCGATTCCGACGACGACATCATCTCCGATGACGAGATCTTCGACGAGGCCGAGGACCTCTCATTCGCCGAGTCCGAAGAAGAGGACGATGATACCAACGCTCAACGCAACGCTCGCGGTTTAGTCGCTCGCCGGGCCGCTACGAACCGTCCCCTCTACAACGAACCCGAATCCAGCAGCATCGAAGACGACGATACGGATGATGACGAACGCCCTAAACCCTCGCCCCAGAAACGCAAGAGTACGGTGGTCACCCTGAAGGTCGGCGACGCCTTGAAACAAAACTTTCAGGGCCCCCGCCGGGTCACTCGGCGCACGCGGGATCCATCGGAGGATTTCCACGCCCTAACGACGTCCGGACGACATATGGAGACCGTCGAACGAGGAACCACACGGAGCCCTGAGCTAGAGCGGCGTCGGGGGTCCCGTGGCTCGAAGCGGGCCCCGGTGCTCGATGAGGAGGAGGAGGAGGAGGAGGAGGAGGACTTGCAGCCGAAGCAGGAGGATGAAGAGATGGTCGATGAGACCACCATGGAGGTCAAAGGCTCTCAACTCGAAATTATGGAAAGCGATGTTCAGATCAGCTTCGAGGACGGCATGCCGCCTGCAGCAGGCGAGGGACAAGAGACAACCACAGCAGATGATGAAGGGTTCGTTCCAGAGTCCGAGAATGGCGATGCAAAGGAGGGCGGCGGCGACGATGACGACGACGACGACGAGGATGAGGGCCCGACGACACGAAGGAGGAATCGACCCAACCGCAGCCAGCAGGCAGACGACGAGGTCGAGCAGCCCGAGGAAGACGAGGCTGCACACCCGCGCCGTTCCAGTCGAAAGAAGCCGAAAAGTTCACAACGAAAACGCCAAGACGACGAAGAGAGTGATTTCGAGCCAGAGGAAGAAGAGTCTAATGACGACGACGAGATCTCACAGTCTGGGAAGTCGCAAGCTTCACCACGCAAGGGAAGTCAGGCCCATGAGGAGGATGAGGACAGCACCACCGGCCGTCGCCCGGGTCTCCGCAAGCGCGCGTCCCGATCCCGGGGACAGTCCGAAGTGGGTGCTGACATCGCGGAGGAGCTCGCAGAGGAATTGGAGGATCTTCGCGGCGGTCGTCCTCGTCGGCGAGTGCAACAGGAGATTGTTTACGAGAAGCCTCGCCGCAGTCGCAAGGATGTTGACTACCGCATCATCCGGCCTGATCTGATCCTGCCCATTGAGGAGGCCGAGAACGAAGTCAATGAATCCCCTTCACGCCGCGGCCGGGGAGGCGGCGGCAACAGTTGGCAGCGAACCCTGTTTCCCACATATGGGCCATTCGGAGGCGGCGGGCCGTCTGCCATCTTAGGGCCCCCGGGCGCACCGGCTGCTACGGGTGGGGTAGACAGCGATAGCAGTGACGACGAGGTTATGCAGCATCCCAAGGGTGGTGCAGGGGGTTCCATCTCCGGCCCTGCACAGCCTGGTGCCGGCCTCTTGGGTACGCAGACTCACAGCGCCGATGCAGCCCAGGGCCACGCCGGGACGCCTGCAAATCTCGGCAAAATCAAAGACAAGCAGACACTGGCTGATGCTGACCCGTTGGGTGTGGACATGAGCGTCAACTTCGACAGTGTTGGTGGCTTACAGGGCCACATCGACCAGTTGAAGGAAATGGTGTCGCTGCCGCTACTATATCCAGAGATCTTCCAACGCTTCCACATCGTACCTCCGCGAGGTGTGCTTTTCCATGGACCCCCCGGAACTGGTAAGACGCTGCTCGCCCGAGCATTGGCGAACAGTGTCAGCTCGAATGGCCGTAAGGTGACCTTCTACATGCGAAAGGGTGCCGACGCTTTAAGTAAATGGGTGGGTGAGGCGGAGCGACAGCTTCGGTTGCTCTTCGAAGAGGCTCGAAAGACACAGCCTAGCATTATCTTCTTCGATGAAATCGATGGTAAATGACTCCCCTCTCTGTCGGGAGAGTATTGAAAGCTAACAGTGCTTTAGGATTGGCACCTGTACGGTCAAGTAAGCAGGAACAAATCCATGCCTCGATTGTATCCACTCTGCTGGCGTTGATGGATGGTATGGATGGACGTGGACAAGTCATCGTCATTGGCGCCACGAACCGCCCCGACTCGATTGACCCAGCTCTTCGACGCCCTGGTCGTTTCGATCGCGAATTTTACTTTCCACTGCCCAACAAGGATGGCCGACGTTCTATCCTGGACATCCACACCAAGGGCTGGGATCCACCGCTGCCTGGCCCCATCAAGGATGAGCTGGCGGAGATCACCAAGGGCTATGGTGGTGCTGATCTTCGTGCCCTCTGCACAGAGGCAGCCCTCAATGCAGTGCAACGACGATACCCCCAAATCTACAAGTCTAACCAGAAGCTACTCATCGACCCGAAGACCATTGAAGTGACCCCCAAGGATTTCATGTTGGCGATTAAGAAGATGGTCCCGTCGTCGGAGCGATCAACCTCGTCGGGTGCCTCACCCCTGCCCCCCTCGGTCGAGCCTTTGCTGCGCACGCCTCTCACAGAGATCAAGAATTTGTTGTCTTTGATCTTGCCGCAGCGAAAGAGGCTTACAGCCTTAGAAGAGGCGCAGTTTGAGGAACCGGAAGGATCAGGAAGCTTCCAGCGCGAACAAATGCAGCAGGAGTTCGATCGCTCCCGGGTGTTCCGTCCTCGCATGCTGCTCCGCGGGCCGCTAGGAATGGGCCAGCAGTATCTGGCTGGCGCCCTTTTGCACCATTTCGAGGGACTTCATGTTCAAGCTTTCGATCTCCCTACCCTGCTCAGCGACTCGACTCGGTCACCGGAGGCCGCCGTCATCCAGCTTTTCGCCGAAGTCAAAAGGCACAAGCCGAGTGTGATCTACATCCCGAACATCCAGGCTTGGACTGATACCGTCGGCCCGGCCGTGATGTCTACGTTCCTGGGTTTACTGCGGTCAGTTCCTCCGACCGATCCTGTGCTGCTATTGGGCGTGCAGGAGTCGGCAGGTGAGGATATGGACAACGGTGTGCTGCGGAACTTGTTTGGGTATTCAAAGAAGAACTTCTACGATCTCAGAGCGCCAGGTAGCGAGGCACGCTACGAATACTTTACAAAAGTCATTGACTACGTCAAGACATCACCTGCACACCTTCCCGACCCGGAGAATCGGAAGAAGAGGGAGCTGGAGACGTTGGAAGTTGCACCTCCACCGCCCCCTAAGCCGGCAACGCCCCTCTCCAAGGAGCAGCTCAAGGCGCAGAAAAAGAAAGACCACCAAACTCTTAACCTACTCAAGATCCGCATCCAGCCTATCATGGACCAGATCAAGAAGTACAAGCGGTTCCGCACTGGCGTCATCGATGAATCGCAGATTCGCTACCTCTGGGAGGAGGAAGACCCGAACATCGTGACAAGTGATCTACCAATTGAACAGCGCACCACCTTCCGGCCGTTTGAGAAGGCCTTCGACAAGAATGGAGTGCCTGGGTTGCGCGAGGCCGTGTCGGGCAAATTCTTCTACAACCTCGAGATAGTCACCATCGAGAAGCGGCTCTCCAACGGGTACTACAAGCGGCCCAAGGACTTCTTGGCAGACATTAAGAGGCTCGCCAAGGACGCCCGGCAGCTAGGAGAGCAGGAAAGACTGTTGCGCGCCAACGAATTGTTGTCCAATGTCGAGGTGGATATTGCTACCATCGAGCAAACTGAGCCCGCTCTGGTGACGGAATGCGAAGGGGTCTACGTGCGAGAACTGGAGAGGGAGAAACTTGCCATCGAAAAGGCGCGCAAGGCGGCGGAAGAAGAGGAGGCAGGCCTGATCGGTCGCGCGGCGGCAAACCGAGTCCCGCACGGCAACACAGAGTCGGGCCCATCCAGCGGGCCGGTGGTCCTAGGTGAGACGTTCCCGGATCTTGGTCCGAAAGAGACGACCCGACCGGTGACGCCTACCCGTCGGTCGACAGTGAGCTTCATCACTAATGGCTACCATACCGGGGGCGGATCGGACCTGAACGATCTCAGTACGCATGCGCTCACCAGTAACGGCTCGCATGAGGAGCGCCCGGATGGTGATGGTGATACTTACATGACCAACTCGGATCACTCTGCCGAAAGGGAGACACAGACAAGTTCGTTTGGTCCGTCGGCGCAGCCCAAACCTCCCTATTCACACACAGCGCCATCGCAGCAGGTGCGCCGGGAGTCGGGAATTTCAAGCTTCTCGCAGAAGGGCCCCATGACGCCCATGGCGCCCGGATCCCAACCTCACGAGTACACTAACGAGGCATCGACGACACAGACGACGTCGGACAAGAAGTCGTCCGAGCAGTCCTCGGTGCCAAATCCGTACACGCAGAGTCCGGTAGCCACTCAAGGGATGCGACATGATTTTCCCGATCTCACGCAGTACCCGGACCGGGTATCGCAGGAGGAACATCTTCCGGATACGCAACAGGGAGACAGCAGCCAGCCGTCGCCCCGACCGGCTGCCGATATGGCGCCGCTGGAAAATGGCCCGGCGCACTCGCAGCCACGGGCTCAGCCGCCGGTACCCCTGTTCGACCACCCAACCAAGCCGGCAGCGCATGTGCCGGCGGGAATGCAGTCGCTGCTGAACAATGAGGACCTGTCGCCGAAAATAACGCTTGACCTGGAATACGTGCAGAAGCTGCACGAGCAGCTCACACAGCGGACGAGCGGCTGCAGCGTGGAGCAGCTAGAGCAGATCAACACGAACCTGATGGACTACCTATGGCAGACGCGGGGAGAATGGAATCGGAGCAAGGTGGCAGCGGGAATCCAGGACACGTTCAACGAGGTGCTGGAGGACATGCAGGCAATGCAGGAGATTGGGCCGATCAGCCAGAAGACGAAGGAGCAGCTGTATCCGCTGTAGATGGAAGAGAGTTTTTCATGTGTGATTGCTTTTGTGGGATACCATCATACCCCCTTTACCTTTATACCTCTTTGAAGCGACATGGATTGTATCGTATGTTTATACCTGCTTGTCTTGAATTTGGTTTGTTGTGTTGCTTGCTCTGCGTTGCTCTTTTTGCTACTGGTACTGATTTATGGGCGGTCATTTGTTTGGATCTTGCATGTATCTGGGCGTGCAGCATATTGTTGCCGACGTGTTGAAATAGCTGGAAAAGGCTGTATTCTTGTAGATAGACTGGGGAATACATCTACGATGGTTATACTATCTATGCATTTACTCTAACTGCTATGTTGACTCTTGAGTATAGTTAAAAAGAAGTAGTTGTAAATAAATGGCTGCTTAGGCGGTGGCATGTGACGGGCCAAGACACCAGGCTGGCCTTTCGTCGATCCTCGCTTTCTTCTTCCATCTCCGCTGCTCCGCCGCAATCTTCCGCCCACCACAACCACCTTCACCCATTTACAATCTCACCCCCGGCTGGGTTGATCCTTGCAGGCAATTACTTGACAACTGCAAGTCCATTCATTCGTTCATTGCATCTGTCGCGAGCATATACACCAAGACTTCTGTCCCTACTATGACCTCTGTCTAAACAAACACACCATAACCAACCAACCAACCAACATCACCGCCCAACCCAACCTACACTCACCACATACCAAACCCACCACACCAACACCACACACAGAAACCACAACAACAAACCAAAATGGTCAACTGGCTCACCCTCGCCGTCCCCTTCGCCTACCTCGGCGTCCTCCTCGGCTCCCTCGCAACCTTCTCCTCCCTCTACCGCAAGCGCAAAGCCCGTACGTCCTTTCCCCTTCCCCCTTCTTCTTCCTCCTCCCCAAAACTAACCAAATACTCCAAAAACCAGGCAAGTCCCTCTCCCTGGAACCCTGGTTCCCTCCACACACACAACGCGACATCTACTTCTCCCTCCTACACCTCGACCCCTCCGCCAGCAATGATGCCAGCAAGAACCCCAACGGCAAGAAACTCCCGTCTTCCGTACCCGACAGCGTCCTGAAATCCGCTCTCTTGCGTCGCGCCATCGAAGACATCAAACGCGTCATGGCCCTGCGCACGCAGAAGGGCGCGCTCGCTATGCTCCTCCAGCGCGGTAGTGTCGGTGATGATCTGTGGCAGCGGTTTCTCCGTGCTGAGAAGGAAATGGAGGATGAGGTTAGGGATGTTGTTGCTGAGGTAAGACCTTTCTTCTCCTTCCTTGGTATCTTTTTTTGTATATTTTGTGGAGGCTATATACTAATTGGAGAAACGAACAGGCGAACGCCTACGTCCCCGGCTGGGGCCAAACGATCTTCCAGTCGGCCAATGAAATGCTGAATAATGCCATTTTCCGGGAACGCATGGAGAAGCAGCAGGCCAAGTTGGAGGAAGAGAAGCAGTGGTGGGAGAAGAGGAAGGAGGGGTATATGAAGGAGTTGGATGTCGAGGCGGAGAAGAAGGAGGAGGTGGTAGAGGAGGCCGGTGAGAAGAAGCCTGCTACTGCTGCGTCAACGACTACTAGTGAGGAGGGTTCCGGTGTTCCTACGCCTGCTACTAAGACGCCTGAGTCGTCTGGTGCGCCGCCTTCGGTGGCGGGGAGTGATGATGATGCGGTGTTGGTGGAGGCGGATGAGCAGAATGCTGGGAAGAAATAGATTTGATCTTCATCCTTTTCTGCTAGGTTTGAATTAGGTCATATGGGTGCGGTGTATTATGATAACAATATATATCCTTATCTATTCTTGGTACTGGTGATATCAGATTGGATGTAGTAGCTGTTAAGTATGGAGTGTAATGTAGGATCCAGGTGATATACAATTAGTAGTAGCATAAAAAGTACTACTGCTGTCGCACCTTGGCCAGTTTTATACCATCACAACAGACCAGTACTGAAACTGAAATGGTCGGGCTTGGTTAGGATAATACGACGCTAATGTTACTACTAACAAAGGAGTATTAATGAGCTAGTTGAAAGAGAGGACATCCAATTCTAACGTCATGATATGATATATTACATGTATACCACCAGAAATCACCATTTTGTATATATACACCCACACCAACAACAAAAGCCGAAGACACAACCAAACGCCAACCATGCTCATAGACACCTCGCCCCCTACAACAACAAATCATCCCCCAGCGACACCCCCAAATCCACACCCGTAACCCCCATCTCCTCAGCAACCTTCGCAATCTCCTCCTCCACCGCACCCCCAGCCGCCCGCCGACCCATCACCACGCGCAACAACTCCGTCATGACCTCCAACTGATACTGCTCGCGCTCGTGCTGCTCAAGATCACTCAGTTGGAGACCACGGGCCGCAAGCGCCCCGAGCTTCCGATCACTGAGTATGTCCACGAGCCGGTTGACGTGGCTGATATTCTCCTTGCTCTTCGGTGTGCTGGATAGGCGACGGAGTCGGCGCTTGGGCGTCTCAGCCGGGACACCCGCTAACCGGGCGACCTGTAGCACGATCAAGCGGGCTGTGATGTCATCGGGGAAGAAGCCAAAGTGCGCGCGCATGGTGTACAGGGCAATGAGCGTGCCGGGGAGGTCTTTGGAGAGACAGAAGCAGCGGATAATTTGGTCGTAGAGTTCCTTGGAGAATTCGTCGCGGGTGGCGGTTTGTGCGCGCGCGGAGAGGTTGGTGAACCAGCGGATCATGTCGGAGAAGAGATGTCGCGCGGAGGGAAAGTCGGTTACGTAGGCGGTTCGGCCGCGGTCGTATTGTAGCTTGCCGCAGTCCCAGAGGCAGGCGTAGGTTTCGAGGTCGGGTTGTGTGATGGCGGATAGGGATTGGTATTTGTTCCAGAGGGAGCCGATGTCTTGTTTGCGGAGCTCGGCGTAGAGGAGGTGGTTCATAAAGTAGGAGTTCGGGTGAATGCGGCCGTCGCCGAGACATTTGACGAGGTATTTGATCATGTCGTCGTCGCTGCGCCGTGTGTAGTGGAGGAGGAGGATGGAGAAGGTCTCGATCGTGGCGGCGGGCATGGGCCGTTTCATGAACTCGGGCAGTCGGACGTCCTCTGCGCTTTCTTGGTTTACGTCGAGTTGGGGGGCTTTCTCGGTGGAGGTGCGCGCCCAGACTTGGTCGATTCGCTGCTGGACCATGGCCCATCCGAGGCGTTCGGCTTTCTCGCGCGAGGTGCTGCTGCCGTCGCGTAGCCAGGCGGCAATGACTCCGTTGAGATGCTTTGCATCTGGCTTGACGCCACGTTCGTACATCAGCTCGATGACCATGGCGGCGGAGTCGACCTCGCCCATGCCAATCAGTTTCTTCATCCAGCTGGCGTAGAAGAAGCGGTTCTGGAACTTCCGTGGCAGGACGGTCAGGGTCGAAAGGGAGACCTTGTTCACGTCTTGTTCGGAGATGCTGGACGCTTGCAGGTTGCCTGCTAAGCCGACGGCGGCCTTGTAGAGAGAGGTTGAGTCGTGTCGGGGATCGCTGTTGGTTACCATCATGTCTTTGAATACAGCGATGGCAAGGCTCGGCCGGCCGGCTTTGAGCAAGCCAATGCTGACTTGGTCATAGTCGTCCATCGTCATCTTCCGTTCTAGGAATGCCTTGAGCTGCAGGTACATCGCCCATGCTTTGACTTCCGCTTCCTTCCCAGACCGTTTGCCCCAGGCTGTGATGACTGGTATCAGAATGCGTGGTTGCCGTGACTTGTCGTTTGCTAAAAAGGCCAGCGCAATATCTTGTGCGCGCTGAGGATCGTTTTCTGCTGCAAATAGCCGGACTCCTAATTTCCAGTATGCCTCCAGGTCCTCTTTCCGTTGGCTGAGCTCAGCCTGATATGCTTCCCATTTCTCTAATGCCACTTGAGTATCCCCGCATTCATGGAGTGTTTCAATGTAAGAGAGAATACGAGGCGTGGAAAGGGTGAGGCCCGCTGATAGCGAGTCTTCAGCCAGTGTGCGTACCCGTGCGGTTTCCTGGGGTCTGGCGGAATTCTTCAGGGCCAGAGTATCCCACAGAAGAGTCAGCGTCTCCTCTGACAAGGACTCCACAAATCCTGGGACGACCTGCTTGCATCGGCGATACCACCTCCACAGTTCCTGTTCCCAGCGCACGCTAGAGTCGCCACTTGCAATCCGTCGAAGGCATTTGTTCAACTTGTCGGCATACGGCTGCAGGTCTGAGTTCTCCAATTCCACTTCGTATGGGCGCCGCACAACCAGTGTACGCGAACCATCCTCCTCGTCAGATTGCCAGTTCTCCTCTTCCTTGACCAGGCTTTCGAATTCGTTCTTCAATAGACCGTCGAGCTCTTTCTCGTAGAGATCCTTGATACTGACATCGGCTGCCCCAGCCGCCTCATCCTCCTCATATTTCCGGAGTGCTTCCAGCGCAATAGCCCTATCCTCTTCGGGTAATTCTCGAATGAATTGACTGTTTGGACCAAACGGGCCTTCCTTCAGCTCTTCCAACTCCTGGGTCAGGCGGGCGAGTTCCTTCTCGGCGTCTTCCTGCTCGGCACGTCCCTCTGCTTCCGGATCGACCTTCCGCCGTGTCTTGCTCTTACGAGTATCCTGCTCGTAGAAATTTATCTTGTCCTTGGGACCGCCATAATGTATGGAGCGTGGCGCTACAGCGGCGAATGCTCGCGGGAAGAACGGACTTCCGCGGGCCACATGCTGATACCAACGAGCTCCTCGGACAGCCTGGCGGAGCATCAAGTATGGGCGATTAAATCATGGAACAAGGTTGTATAAATATGCAAAATAACACCGACCGACAGCTGTAACAAAGCACACAAAAGCGAGAATTGCAGGAAGATGATGGAGAAGAAGAATAAGAATGGCAGCTCCGCGGCGGAAAACCATTCCATCCCGATCGGGACTAGCGCCACCGCGAGCTCGATCGCCGCAAAGAAAGTCACTCCATGAATCAACTCGTCCCATGCTTCTTTCTAGCCCGCAAGCTGTTCCTCTCAATAAGCTCCATTGCTCCTTGTGCTAGACACTGGTCATCATGGATCTCGGCTCGTTAGAGGTGGAGGCAGCCAATGCGCCCAAAGATGGCACCAACAATCAGGTACCGCTCCCTCAATGCCCTTGTCGCGAACCCGTACTTACGGACCCAAGGGTGTGTATATCTACACGCCCGCCGATCAAAGCAAATCCTCGGGAGAACGTCCCTCGAAACGGCGCAAGGTAGCTCCGAAGAAGGAAGAAGAACAAGATGGATTGAAAGCACATCCCTTCGTACCACTCCTCAACGGCGAGGAGGACGAGCAGTCCGTCGAAGCGCGGTATAAAACATACCAGCAACTTTGGTCAACCCAGGAGGCAAAAATTCAGGTCAGTGATGTATAGTTGGAAGAGATTATAGTGGTACAAGACTAATATCTGGGCTAGGAAATTCTAGGTGATGTTGACTCCGAGGTCCTTTCCAATGTTTCGTCCTTTGTCCGCTCGACTTCTCCTCAAACGTAAGCGCGCATATTCGCTCCCAAGGATTGACTGCATGTCCTGACAATTGCAGGTACGATGGCTGTATCCCGGCGGCATTAGTGACCGTGGGTTCCAATGTCTCATCGCTGGCTCGCTTGCTGGCCAGACTCAACGACCAATTCACCACGGCGGGAGACGGTGGAGCTATTGTGCTGGAATCCGGTGATGCGCCTAACCTCAAAACGACCCTCAAGAACATTATCCGGTTTGCTATCACGAACACAGAGGGGAACGATGGCTATCAATCTTTCCTTACAGACCGAGAGGTGACTATGTACAGTTCAACAACACAACAGGGCATGCGCTAAATGCCAATACAGGGCCCTAGACTCCTCGGTTACGATCTTGACTTGCTAGGCGACTATGTGAAGCGGAAAGGCATAAAGAAGCTGGTTCTTGCATTTCGAGACAGTGAAGCCTTCGATCCGGGCATTCTTACGGATCTCTTGTCTCTACTAAGGTGAGTCCATCCCCGAATTGTGTGGCACTGCGGCTGATTGTCCAGCTCCTGGCTTGATCGGATACCATTCACACTCTTGTTCGGCATCTCGACGTCCGTGGAACTCTTTGAGGGGAGACTGCCGCGGTCAACTGTCGCCTTATTACGGGGTAGATATTTCGAAATACATGAAGCGAGCAACTGCGTTGACCGCATCTATGGGAGGTTACAAGCAGGACAGGATGGGAAAATATGGCTGGGGAGGAACATCACGAATGTTTTGTTCGAGAAATCCAATGATTCCTTCCAGACGCCGGAGGCCTTCAGTCGAACGGTTAAGGTATGTTCAATCTGATCGTGTGTCAACCCATTTAGCTTACACCTGTAGTACGCGTACATGTCACATTTCTTCGCAAACCCGTTGGCGGTGCTCCTTGCAGACGAGGTGGTTCCGAGCATGCGACAGGGTCTTGTGTGCGAGGCGATCCGGAATCTTCCTTCTTTCCGATTGTAAGTCAGTTGCTCATCATCATGATTTGCTATACTAAACTCGTATCAGTTATTGCGAAGAATTGATTGAGCAAGGCTCGGCCAAGCAAGTGCGTGACTTGCTCGAAAACGATGAATTTCTCTTCCAGCAATGTCTGCAGCACTTGAAAGACGGACAGCAGAAGATGCGCGATCTCTTTCAGTGCGTCAAACTGACGCACCTGCTACTGAAGAAACTCAGCCTCGTCAAGAAGACTAGCATATCAGAACTCTCAATCCGTGCACTATCAGGAGAGCTCCAAGACTCGCCATTGGTGACCGACATCCTCCAATCTGCAAAGACACTAGATTCCAAC